GAACCACAAGACAAGAGCGTGGACTCCAGAGTCGAACTTTAAGTGTCTGCTCTGATATGCTAGCCATATGAGCATGGCAAATCCAAGCCTCCTTGCCCCTCAGTTCCCCGTCTGTAAAGTGGAATAGGGCTTTTAGTATTTGCAAGATTGTTGTGAATTGTTTCTGTTTGTTTGGTTGGTTGGTTGGGGTTTTTTTTAGTTTTATTGATTTTATATTTTTTAAATACATGATAGTGGAATGCATTACAATTCTTATTATACATATAGACTATAATTTTTCATCTTTGTATATAGAGTATGTTCACTTCAATTCATGCCTTTATACATGTATTTTGGGTTTTTTGGGGGGTTTTTTGCATTACAATTTTTATTATACATGTTGTGTTTTAAGTTTGTTTTTAAAAAGTCTTAGAGTATAACATAATTTCATAGATTCTAAGATGCACATTTTTGAGAATTTTAATAATTTGGAAATGAGGTTTCATCCTATACTTAATTTTTACATGTAATTATTGTAAGTGTTGGTGACTGAACCCAGGGCCTCTCACATGCTAATAAGCACATGCTATACCTCTGAGCTGTGCTCCCAGCCCAATCTAATTTTTTTTAATTTTATTTATTTTTTATTAGCTACACTTGACATTACAATGATCTTGGCAATTCATACATTTGAATCATTGGGGTATAATTTTTAATAAGCATTTTATCATTTAAATTTTAAATTTATCTAATTTTTAAGAAGCATTTTATTATTTAATTGTTGACATTTTTTAAATCAGTGGTATTTAAAAATAATAGTTTACCTTAGAGTTCGTGACATTTTACATTTTAGTAACTAATCATAGTAAGAAATAAACTATGCTAGCTGTCATCAGCTTTATTATCAGTGTCATTATTATCACGGTCCTAACCAATACAGTGGCATTGGATTGTTTAGCTGTGCTAGCTCAGAATATATATATCAAATCTCAGTTTCATCTAACTACTGTTTTCATTGGTGTGTTTTTTTGGGGGGGAAACCTAGTGAGCTGTTTTTCATAATTTCAACTAATGTAAAGCATGGGGTCAATATATACAGTGTTTATGTTTGCTGAACTGTACTCAGAGAACTATGAAAATGTTCTTTATTTAGTCTCTTGAAATAAAGAAGAAGATTCTGAATTTTCTCTATTGATATTTTTTCCTAAATCCTTTCAAATAAATGTTTTTTGTTTTTTGGTTTTTTTTTTGGTTGTTGTTGTTGTTGTTTTTCCTCCCTCAGCTAGCAGAACTGAGCCACCATTGTACCACTTAAGATTTACTGGTTTGCACTCTCCTCCAAGGGAGAGACGAGACATTTTATTGATCTGTAACAAAGAAATGGACCATGGCCAAGCCTTTTCTGGTTTATACAATGCACTGACATGAGAATCTGCATATCATTAAGAAGAACAAGTCCTCACAATCTGAGGCCACCTGTCAGACATGAACAATAACTGCAAAAAGAAAAAAAAAATCAATAGACAATATCACAACTGTTCTCTGCCTGCACAGCTAGATTCCGTGCTGGTGACAGGGTCTTGTTATTTTACCAGTGATAGGCTTGTAGTGTCTGATTTTAGGCTTCCTCCCCCTTTTGATTTTATGGTTTGGTTTGGGGGAGGGTGGGAGGGACTAACTCAGATCTCAGGGGAAGGTCTTCTGCCAAGTGCAAGAGGTGTTCGGGAACGGAGAGAACCTTGGGCCAAAGTTGATGAAGCTTGACTAGGAAGATTTGGGCACATCTCCTTCCCGATATCTCGACACGCACTTCATCCACCCCTACACATGCAGCTTGTCTCTTCTTGTCTTTGGTTTTGCCCTCCAGAATTAAATGGTGGTATTTACAAGCCACAGTGAAGCAAGAGCGCCAACACACGGGCTAGCAGGGGGCCAGTAAACAGGGTTTGAGTTTAGGTTCTGGTTGTTGTTGGCGTTTAGAGTATGATTAGGTGAATAATTCTCTCCTTTACTCCTCATTTACTCACTCCTTCCCCTCTAGTTTCCCCCAGCTCTCGCATTTTATTTTAAAGCTGTATTTGTCAGACTTTGCTAGACATTCATTCTTTTTCAGAGGTGGGGTTCTGGGGATTGAACTCGGAAGCACTTGACCACTGAGTTACATCCCCAGCCCTATTTTGTATTTTATTTAGAGGCAGGGTCTCATTGAGTTGCTTAGACACCTTGCCTTTGCTGAGGCTAGCTTTGAACTTGCTGTCTTCTTCCTTTACCCTCCTGAGCCAAGCCACCTGGGATTACAGGTATGCGCCACTGCGCCCAGCCCCTGACAGTTCACAAGCCTGGCATTAATTCAGCCACCTCTGACTGTGCACAGGGGTTATTGCTGTCCCAAGTTCAGTGCCATGGACCTGAACCAGTGTCCTTTTTTCCCCTAAAATGTCAGGTGGTTGCCCCTTAGAGAAATTAGAGTTATCCTGTCATGGTGTTGCCAGCCAGAGACTGGGGACCAGCATGGAGTGGAAGGTTCGCCACCAGAGCTGACCGCTGGTCCCTGTAGCTGGAAGAGCCAAGCAGGGAGCACACTTGTCAGATTAGCCGTTCAACCAGAAAGAGAGGAGGAGTCCTTTTGGATGTGCACTAGCTGCTTTCACAGAGGTTGACTTTGAACTGTGGTGTAATCTTTTCAACAAGGACAGTGTCACTAGCCAAGCAGCAAGGTCTCACCTAGCGTGATCAAAACCACCAGTGTCCTGTCCTTTTCCTTACTTTTTATTTACAAACATTTCTGATCTCTTATAATCTCCATTATGGCCAGATAGTTTCCTTTTGCTAAAATTTTAAGACACTTTTCCTTTCTTGATGATTTTAAAGCAAATAAAATTAGAATTGACAAAATGGGTCTAGATATTTATTTTTAATAGTCAGTATTATGAAAGGAATAAAGGAGCCCCAAATCATCTAGGTCATCACCCAAGGCCAACCACAGTGAACACTGGTTCATTCACTTGTAGTTTTAATTAATGTGTAAATATGTGCATGCATATTTTTGAGAAAATTTGTTTTAGGATTTGATTGGTGGCATCTTTCCTAGATCAGTGGTACGTAAAATAATGATGTACCTTAGAATGGGTGACATTTTAGGTAACAGCAGTAAGAGATTGATTAGTGTTGTCATCAGCATTATCCAGGTTATTATCATCATTGTCTTTTTTTGAGCAACATATTTTGAGTATTTTACCAGACTATTACAAATTTTTACATAATCATAGTGCTACATTAGGATTCAATATATGACTGTTATTATTTTTAGCGTCTTTTTCTTATTGGGAGGTCATGTAGGCGTCTTAAAAGTTTTTTAAGAGTTTTTAAAATTATTATTTTTTTGTAAATGGACACAATACCTTTATTTTATTTTTATTTTTTTAAATATTTTAATTTTTTAGTTTTCGGCAGATACAACATCTTTGTATGTGGTGCTGAGGATCGAACCCAGGCCGCACGCATGCCAGGCGAGCGCGCTACTGTTTGAGCCACATCCCCAGCCCCTTATTTTCATTTTTATGTGGTGCTAAGGATCAAACCCAGTGCCTCACACATGCTAGGTAAGCGCTGTACCACAGTGAACCACAACTCCAGTCCAGTATACTTTGACATGTTATACATACATAGAATAAGTATAACTTGTTCCAATTAGGATCCCATTATTGTGGTTGTACATGATGTGAAGTTACATTGGTTATGTACTCAAATATATGGGTAGGAAAGATATGTCTAATTCATTCTACCATCTTCCCTAGTCCCATTTCCTCTCCCTTCCCTTCATTCCCCTTTGTCTAATCCAGTGAACTTCTTCAGTGTTTATAGTAGCTCAATTCACAATAGCCAAGCTATATAAGCAACCTAAATGCCTGACAACAGATGAATGAGTAAAAAAAATGTGATGTGTATGTGTACACACACACACACACACACACACACACAATATGGAATATTAATTAGCCATAAAGAAGAATGAAATTATGACATTTGTTGGTAAATGGATAGGACTGAAGAATATCATGTTAAGTGAAATAAGCCAGTCCCAAAAAAACAAAGGCAGAATGTTCTCTCAGATTAAAAGTTTAGTTGAAATTTTAAGTATGTGCTTGAGGTTTGTTCAGCTCAGGTTTGGGTTTGTGGGTCTAAAGTTAGAATTTGGTCACATTAGAAATGGTCTGGGGGCTGGGCTTGTGGCTCAGAGGGAGAGTGCTTGCCTTGACCGCATGAGGCACTGGGTTCGATCCTCAGCACCACATAAAAATAAAGCAAAGATATTGTGTCCACCTATAACTCAAAAAAATAAATATTAAAAAAAAGAAATGGTCTGTTTCTATATTTACTGTTGTTTTCTTTTTTCTGGCAGTATTTTTCAGAAAGCATTTCCAAAAAAGCAAATGTTGGAGTAATGATCTTCTTTAGTTTTAAATTTTGTGATTGTAATATGTCTCATAGTAATCTCAGGTAACTTTAAAAGAGAAAATCAATATAAAATAAGAAATATGTTGCCCCACATGGAGTCTAACATTTCCAAACTCTGTGCCCTCTTCCGTCATCTGAAGTTTCTCCGACAGGACAATGGAAGGTTTTGAACTATGCTTTGTTTTGTTTTTAAGAGGGTAACTGACTGGGTTGGATTTGTGTTTTAGAGAGGTGCCTGCATCGAGAAAGGGGTTGGGAGAAAGGACTTCAAACATCTCAAAAAATTTGCACAAAGTTACCTTTTTATAAAATGTTAACATCTGGGGCAAGAGCGTTGTGTTTGGAGGTGTTTCAGTTCCTAGCGCCTGGCCCATGGGCTCCATAGCTGTCTTCGTACCGAGTGTCCGGGTCCACTGCAGCTGCCTCCTGGGTCCTCAGTCTCTCTCCCCCATTCCAATTGGCTTTCTCCGTCAGCCGTCTTTTTTGTAAATAGAATTCTAAGATTTAGTGTTGTACATATTTTTAAATGATCCATTTTGATGGGGCTGTCTTTATTGTTTCAGGTTGAATGCCTTTGGGAACTTGATGTATAAAATTTGCATGACTCCTCGCTCCTTTCTGGGTCTGTCCTTGGATTCCAGCCAGCATGGCTCACACCACAAAGGTTAACGGCTGTGCCTCAGGTAACTCTGGGCTCTGGAGGTGAGGGTAGGGAGTGTGTGTGTGTGTGTGTGTGTGTGTGTGTGTGTGTGTTTCCCCACATTTTTTATTGGTGCACTATGGTTGTACACGTTGATGGGATTTGTTGTCACGTATTTGTACATGCACACAAATATAGTTTGGCCAATGTCACTCCCTAGCACTTTGTCCTTCCTTCCCCACCTTCCACCCCTTGGTCTTTTTCCCCTACTGGTCTCCCTTTGAGTTTTAGGAAATCCACCCCCCACTTTTCTTTACCTTTTTCCTTCTGTATATATTTTAAATGATGTCTTTTGCTCAAAACAATTTGTCTTTTAATAATAGATACATAATAGCAAGTGGCCTTGGTAAGAGTAGGATTACAGAGCAATTTTGTATCCACTGAAGTTTTATTGTTCCTTACTTGATCTCTTGGAAAATTTGTATTTATCTTTAGACTTTCTGTACTGAAATCAGGTAAATTATTTATCTAAGTCAATTCTTTCAAGGTGTTGAAAGGGAAATGTAAAATCCTGAATGCTAATGCAGGTATAACAGATATGTTCTCGTGCTTATGTCTAAGGGATTGAAGAAGGAGAGAAGAAATATGTTTAAGTGTTGAAAATAATTCCTACTGTGATGACGATGATGATGGGTGGTGGTAATAATCAGAGAGAAAGGGGAAGGGAGGGGGTATTCCATAAAGTGACTCCATAAAGTACTATACAACAAGCCGTGTTTGGATCATACAGACCAGTATTCCAGTTCTTATATCGGTTATATTATAGGAATCTATAGGTTGAATACCAAATATTGCTTATGTAAGATTTGGGAGAAACCCATAAACAAATACAGAGAGATGGTCCATGACCTGAGATGACAACCTGTCTAAAATGGCAGGCCAAGTATTTGTTTTTCTTTTGAATTATCTGCCAAATAGCAGACTGAGTGAGAACAGGAATCCTCTGGGAATTCTTTCCCAGAGCCTGTGTCCACAGTCCTAGCTCTGCTGACTCTGAGCACCCCCAGTGGCAATGCTGTGTAGAGGAGGGTGCACGGCTTTGGAGCCAGGAGATGAGAAGTGGAGTCCTAACTGCAGCTCTAATCATGAAACACTGGGCAGACAGTGTCAGAAAGTGGTAAGCCTGTCTGCCTGGTAGTGAGGATCAGCGAGAGTACCGGACTTGTAGTCACACATGCTGTGTAATCTGTGAAGCACTTTCAGACAGCAGAGGACGAGACCACAGAAATGGCCATTCCCAACCCTGTATGTGATTTTTTTTTTTTTTTTTTTTTTGGTACCAAAGGTTGAACCCAGAGGCGCTTAACCCCTGAGCCACATCTCCAGCCTTTTTATATTTTCTTAGAGACAGGGCCTCATTAAGTTTCTGAGGCTGGCTTTGAACTCGAGATTCTCCTGCCTCAGCCTCCTGAGTCACTGGGAATACAGGCATGCACCACTGTACCCAGCTATATATGTTTGTTTTTTTTTTAAACTTTTCCTCACAGTATTAAGCAAGTGCTCTACCCCTGAGCTATATTCCCCACCCATTTGTGTGACTGACTTTGTGTTTCACCAATCCTAGATGCAAAAGTAAACTCCTCTGGCAAAAACACTGACTTACCCAAACCCAAATAAACCCAATTATTTTTTGTGGGTCATCAGATTTTTCCTGTCCATTCCTCTGTCCTTCCTACTGCCCACCTCTTTAGGCCTTTTTATAGATTCTGCTCAGGGACTGTCCATAATAAAAATACGAATGACAATATACTATACACCATGGTGCCGAGATACTCCGCCCACATTATTACCCTTTAGTCCTCACCATAGTCCTGCAGAATTATGCCGCCAAGATTTTCATCATCATCATCATCATCATCATCATCATCATCATCATCATGGTCACCCTCTGGTGTCTATGACAAAGTCCTGTCTTCGGGGCTTAGATTGCTATCATGCTTGCCCTAATGCCCTTTCCAACGTGACCTGCCCTGCCCTTTCTCCCTGTTCCTGGGGTCAGAGAGGCCAGCTATAACTTCTCCTTCCCTACAGTGTCCTGCAGCCAGAACTGGGCTTTGAGTTTGAAAACTAAAGAAAGTTGTCTGATTTGTGACGGAGGGTGTCTGGACCAGACAAGGGAAGGCTTTTCCTTGTTGTACAGATCATGACCCCTGTAAGCAGATCTGTTCAGAGCACAGTCTATCGCCAGCCGTCCTAGCCGGCGACCCAATGCTGGGTTCGCAAAATCTGACTATTCCAGTAACTCAAGAAAATGACAAAGGAAAGCACGCAACCACATAGAAATACCTTTTTCAATATGGCTCTGTGACCCTAACAGTCCTTGGAAAAAGAGTGCCACCAGAATTCTTTATTCTTATATAGGGAACACACCCGGGGAGGTTCCATGGAACATTCTATCCCCACAATGGCAATGGGGTAGGATTACAAAGGAATGGGTGAGTGTGGCTCAACCCTCGTGGGGGATGCAGGACTGGAATGCATGGTCATTCACCGTGGCTTCCACAACTCATTCAGTCACTTTGTGTACACCCATGTGCAAACGTGTGAATGTGCTCACTCACCATAGATAATTGAAAATATCGAAGTACAATTGTCTAAAAAAAAATAATGAATAACTGGTGATGCTACCACCTAGAAATAAATGGTGTGCTCATTTTCCAATTAGTCTTTAATTAAGGACACATCCCCACTGTCCTTCAGTTAGATCGGATAAAAGGCACTGATTTTAAAACGAGAGCAGTTGATGGTGTCATTTGTATAATTTATGATAAGTTTCTGACATACACTACATGTAAAGGTAGGTTGTATGACAAGCACTTGTATGAAAAGCACAGTAAACTTTACCTGTACATGGCAAAGATTATTGAGCACCTACTGTATGCTAGGTCCTTTTTCTGATACTAGAGATACAACAGTGAACAAACAGGTAAAGATCCCTACCCTGGGGCTGGGGTTGTGGCTCAGAGGAAAAGCATTTGCCTAGCACGCATGAGGCACTGAGTTCGATTCTCAGCACCACGTAAAAGTTAAATAAGGATATTGTGTCCACCTACAACTAAAAGAATAAATTTTTTTTTTTTTTTTTAAAAAAAGATCCCTACCCTGCAGGATTATATATTCTAATGGAAGTTGAGGTCTCCTGTGTACAGGTTGCCAGACATACTCACACTGAAGAAGTACTATTTAAATTTAAATTTAACCAGGTATTCTACTTTTGTTGCTAAACCTGACGGCCCTACCTGGGTACCCCTTCCAGATTGCATCCACCTCCCTGCCACCCACCCTGTCATTGTCAATCCTTCGTCATCATGTTATCTGTTTTTTTACCAGAGCCTCCAACTTCTGTTGACTGGTACAGTTTTGTATTTATTAATTCACAACATTTTGTTATAGCATGACTACTCTTCTGTTAATGTAATGAGATTAGAGCATCATAAATTGCTCTTGACTGTTCTGCTGTAGCTAGTGAGGAAGCAAAGAGGAAAATAGCTGAATATCTTCAGGGTGTGGAGGTGGGGACAGTCTGCTTTTTACCTGGTCCCTGAATCATGCTGTGAACTGGATACTGATTGATACTTCTCTGAACTCTAATTAACATTGTGAAACTTTAATTAGAGCTTAGAATTCCTTTGGAAGCCAAATAACAAGTGGCTTATTTGTCAGATGACGATAACAACACCTGCCTTATCTTTTTCACAAGACTTTTGTGCAGAAGAAAACAAAAAGCTGTAAAAACATTTCTGGTTTGTTCCCCCCCCCCCAATGGGTTTTTTTGAAATGTAAACTGATAGGCTAGAAGTATAGCTCAGTGGTAGAAAGCTTTCCCAGCACGAGTAAGGTCCCGGATTTGATCCCTAGCACCATGAAAAAGAAAAAAGTGAAGTACAGTCAGATGTCAGGGGCTTGCACCTTGGACCTTGTCCTGTTGTCTGCATGAGCTCCTGTTCTGGTCAACACCTGCCCAGTGCCCTCGTGTTGGACTGCCCAGCACTGTGACATTGTGGCAATAATTGTATTTCCAGCCTTGCCCAACATCTGGAGAAATGGATGGATGAGCATTGTGAAGTGGCTTCATGCCTGCCTTTCCATCTTGATTTTATTTTTTGCTGCTAGTTACCTTTCTCCATTTTCCCTTGCTCTCGTTTCTCTTGCTTTCTCATAATATGTGCTCTCTCCCTCTCTCTTTTTATACACACATACACACACACACACACACACACACACACGCGTGCGCGCGCACATATGCACACATACATAATACATATATATTTAAGGCACTTTTAAAAATTAATAAAAATTTATAAAATTTGATAGGAAAATAGGGCACAATCACTCAAAATTCCACAGAAGGCCTTGTTTTTAGTATTTCCTTTTTTTGTCTTTGTCCAAAGAACAAACTTTGTTTTCATACATTTCAGAACTCGGCTCTTGGTTTTAACATCCTTTGCTCTCTTCCAATTCTTCAGGGACCATAGTTTTCAAATTAATATTTTTGATGACCATATACTATTCTGTAGACTGTTTCTAGCAGTTGAATTACCCTTCCTTTTTTGTTTGGTAGTTTGGATTGAACATTTGCATATTTCTCATTGTAGATGATGATGCAGAGAACATCCTCTTGCTTAGTCATTTTTCTTCTCCTTTTTGATTGTTTCCTGAGAATAATATCACAGAAACAGGACAAGTGGGTGAAAGGGCAGGGGCTGTTATTACATGGCTGCTAAAGCTGCTGTGAGGCTTGATTCTTATTACCCTGGTCAGTTATTTGGCTTCAGGTCTTGTCTCTATGCTGATCTCAAATGAGGTCCAAAGGCCACTGATAAGGCGGGTCCAGGAGACAGCTGAAGACTCCTGCGGAGCAGGCAGAGCTGCAGCACATGCAGCCCACTCTTGGCTGTGTAAATATTTTTTCTGGGCAGGAGCATTTCTCAAACAGAACTCTGGGCCCACTGCAGCGAACCTGGGCGGGAACTGTGCGCTATT